GACATTTATATTTTGTCTATTTGTCCATAGACAACGAATGGGCCAATACTCTGCAATGCCATTGGCAGCTGTGCGTCATGTGACCCCCCGGTCTAGCAGCTTTCTCTATGCTTCTCCTCTTCCTCATTGCTTTTGTGCTCGTATTATGCCGTTCTTAAGCTTTATACACATATAATGCATGAAACTCATAGATAAAATTGTCAGAATCCAGCTGTGTAATTGTCATTGCGAAGAGATGGAGGTATTTGCTTAAGTCGCACATTCCGGCGTATACCGTCTCACTGCTCCTTAGGCTTGCAGTCAAAAAAATACGCTGGAAGGAAAAAGTCTGTAATTATAAATCACCACGGTTCCTTCAATTTGTTTTAGTATTTTGACATAATACAACAGTGGAATAACACTACAGAGTGCTGTATATATTAAACTTCATGCAGATGTCAGTTTGCTCATCGCCGCGTCTCTCGCTCCTGTCTCTCTCCCTGCAGACGCTCACAGCTGATTCTCATCAGCTGGATATGGCTCAGAGGCGCTGGGACTTCCAGAGCTACTTAAATATATATCACACTAAATAGTTAGACATTATGATATTTTGAACCTTTGATTTGATTTATTCTTTCAAGCATATAAAACAGTTGATATAACAACACACATTTTTACACACAATCCAATATCAATTTGCTTATACCTAGTACATGCTTGAATGGAGTAGGAAGAAGTCAGACTTATCCTTCAAGCTGAAGAATTTCTTTTTCTAATTGAACCTTTTTAAATTTTAAAATGTAAAATATGTACACAGTTTAAAAACTAATTTTATCATTTAGAATATTGTTGAGTCATACCATTTAAAAGCTTTTGTTACGGGCCCCGAGTGCCGGGGCTGCGTAGCAGTGAATTAGTGCAGCCTGGAAAACACAATGTGACATCAGAACAGAACTCTCACGGTGCGCTGGCATTCGCATCCAGACTGCATCTGGGTTTATTCAAACATTAACCTCTAGAGTCCTGAGCTTTGGAAACCCAAGCTGTGCGGTCCTCATATGAGGACGCAGGGACTCTAGAGGTTAACATTCAAACATTATAACAGCATGAATAAAGTGCATTTTTATCCCATATTTTCTTAACTCAAGTTCTCAATATAATTACTTAAACACCTGAGTGACATGTCTCAGCACCACTTTGGTGGTGAATAAACAGTTGCTCCACTGTTCCATGCTTAACTGTAATTAGTTATCAAATAAATAATGGGCTGCACACTAAAAATACTAGTTATCTTTGAACAAAAATACATTTACATTACTTCAAACTGACAGACTGCAT